AATAAATAAACCAATCCCATTTCGATTGTCCTTTAATTGGAAAAAACTCCCTTGCGCCCCCTCTCGGGTGCGGAAAAAGGAGGTGTGACAGAGACGAATTAAGAATCAAAGATGGGTGATAAAATGGCCAGATATTTGACATATTGATGTAAAAAAAAACAGCAACCCGGTGCACTAAGCTCCTGCTATGCGGGGTCCGGGAAAGGGCCGGACTACAAAGGTTTATTGTACGCAATCTTACCCTACATTTATGCAAGAGGCTGCTTCATGGCTCAAGCCCGTGACCTCTTGGTCACACGGCAGAAACTTTATTCGTTACGTCAAGGCTCCCCGATGTGAAAACACAAATTCTCGGTATAATAAAAGATTAATCTCCATAAACAAACCTAACCTCAACAGGTTTTGGATCAAAAGAAACAATTACACCAGCTGCTTCTGCAATCCTCTGTTAGAACCACAACAAAGAAACTTAAAGTAGGACGTTAAAACTTCCTTTTAACTTTTCCTTGAAGTGAAAGAGAACTACCATAACGAGCAACCCAAAGGTCATCACAAGGAGAAATGCCTACTGGTGGTCCAACTTGGAATTCCCACTAGATCAAAACAAAGTAAAAACATAAGTTAGGTGCAATTTGAGGGGCAACAAATAGTTTCAATCACAAATAGACATGAACCAAATAACATTGCAAGCATAATGATACTGGAATCACGACTCCCCGCCCTCTGGACCAGACATGAGGTTTTTCCCTAATCCAACTCTCTGCAATATCCTCTCTTGACCACATCATGGGGTTTACATGAAAGTGTTCTTTTTTTCTTCTTTACAGTTTTACCTGGCCTGCCATAACTTCCGCATTAATTCCACCAATGTTGATGCCGGCGTATAAACAAGCTTTGTAGTGGGAGTTGACAATATCTCGGCCAAAGGCTTTGTCTGCGCCAACTGAACAATAGTAAGGTCCCTATTACCCGGTGAGGGCACAAGAAAAGTTTATTATGCCATACAGATATTTGTTTATGAAACCAGGAAACATTAACTATGAAAAGGAAACAAAGAACTTGAAGAATAGCTTCTTATCACTACCTGAGGGCCAAGATATCCTCCAATTGGCCACCCAAGTGGCCAATTCAGATTTTTCTGCATCAATGTGTACTCCGTTGATAATGATAGAGAGAAATTCTCAAGAATTACTAAACATACACATAAAAATACAAACTTTTACTAATCATAGTTTTCCATTGCAACGTCCATGAAACTTACCATAATACAAAATATATTCAACTTACTTTCGTAGTAACCCATAACCCAGGGGAATTCGAATTCCCGCCACCTCCTTTAAAGAGAGGTGTCCTAACCACTAGACTATGGGGTATATTGAATAAACTTTGACTAAGAATAAGGCTCCCTTCTCTTCCACTCTATCTCCTTATTGGATTGGTAGGTACATTCCTCTCTTCTTTTAGTCGACTAGACTTCGCTCATATCCTATTCTTCATTATAGAAGGTTCTTTATTCCAAATACTGGCGAATCACCTTCATTCAATGCTAGCATCTCCAGTAATACATTTCAAGACCAAGTCAGAAGTCAGTAATACGGAGGGTTACAACAAAAATACCCCCAGCATGAATCTCATTTCAGAAATCAGAAAGAAGACTACAAGAGCAAGTCGAAGATAGATAAGATTCTGTAATCATTAGTTTAGCTTAGCTTTTTGTTTTCTTTCTAGCAATGGTGTAATAAGGAGGTCGGAAAGCAGTAGTAACAACATGCAACAACAGTAACAGCAACATTGCAGTCCCATGGTAGTCCCAGCTACCAAAACTTCCCGAACTACATTAATCGGACTCTCTTTTAGCCAGGGATATGTAGGAAACCTGTGAAGCAAAGGTTCGGTTAAATCTCTTCAAAAATGCTTCACACGGAGTATTCCAACGGGCAAATATCGCTCGTATCCGCTCACTTTATCTTTGCACGAAAACTCTTTGTGTTTTCAGACAAAGAGGGGCAACTGTGAGCACGTGATTTTTGCTTCACGAAAACTACCCCAAAAGAAATCAAAAAATAAAACAAATTGCCTTTGGGTACAATTTTGAGAATTTTGCGTGACATTTTGGATAATTATTTTTGTCTGTGAATGTTTACCTTGTTTTAAGTAATTGAAAAATATCAAAATACCTGTTGCGTGCATATTTAGGATTTAATTATGCATTTTTGAATTAATTAAACCATGTCCTATTTTAAAGAATGAAAATCACAAAAATATGAATCTTTGGCAGCTTTGTCATTTTTATTGTTTAATTGTGTGATTTTATTTTAATCAATATTTGATATTGTGTGTTAATTATTGTTAAGGGTTAATTAATATCTTTTTAAAATAATCTTGGTTTTACAATTTATTTTAGGAATTTTGGTATTTAGGAATTAAAAGGAAAATGAAAGAAAAAGAAGAAAAGAGTGAAAATCGGATTGGGCCATTATTTTTGGACCAAAAATCAGGCCCAAATCACCCATGTACCAGGTCCAGTTGGCCTGGCCAGAGACGTCTTAAAACGACGTCATTTGGTCACTCTTAATCAAGACCGTGGGATTAAATCGATCCAACGGCTGATATTCAATCTCCCTTACCCGTTCCCAAACCCGACCCGTCTACCCCGAACCAAACCCGCCTCAGTACTTAACTAAAACGACCCCGTTTGACCCCCTAACCTAATCTGGACCGTCGATCTTCATGGATCCAACGGATCCCATTAATCCCCTCAATCTAATATACCAAAATACCCCAGACTCATTAACCCCCTTTCATTTCCAAACACCCCCCTGTTCAGTCGTCTCTCTCAGAGACGACCCCTCAAAACCCTAGCCGCCCTGAAACCCCTTCGCCTGAAAGCCGGTGGCAACGATGCCGTTGGCCATGAAACTAACACCCCTAGAGCACCTAACCACCTTCTCCACGAATCCCTTATCCGTTTTGCTTGAATCAGCCTGTAGCTTCTCGAATCTTCAATCGAAGATTCGAGCAAAACTTGAAACTACCCCAACCAGCCCCAAACTCACACCATGACGCCCCCAGACCTCCCTCGTTACCAAACCACCTTTGGTTTGGTTCGAATCAGGCTAGAACTGTTCGAACCCCAAATCGAACCCCGAAGAACCCTACAAAATCAAAGTTTGAAATCTGTCCAAATTAAAGGATGATTTGGGGTCTAATCGACCTTCGTCGAAGTGTTCTCAGTTGAGAACACTCGATTAAGGTCTGTTCGACCTCAAAGAGTCCGAGTCAGAGTCCAAGTCAGGGTCGTCCAGTTTTCCGAGTTCTTGAGGTATTTTTTTCTTTCCTGTTTGTTCCATTTTGTATTTGTTTATATCTGTTTATTTGTTTTGTTTAGTTTTATTGATTTTTCAATTCTTTTTGTCGATTGATTCTGTCCTTCTTCAATGACCTTTTATTTGGTCGAACTTTTTCTAGTCATGGTCAAGTATATGATAAACTATATAATCGATTTGAATGAGTTTCGTCGATTAGTTAAGTTTTATTATAAATTCCTGTTTCTATCAATACGACTCGAATCACCTATGTGCCTGTTCGATTCTGCTTTTCTACTGATTGTATGTGTTGTAATTCGTGTAGTCGATTAGATAAGTGTCGTCGATTAGTTTTACATGCTTGAATGTTAGAATAACCTGATAATAATTTGATTCATATTGCTTCAATTCTGATTGAATCATTGTTTAAATTTGGTTGTGAATTAGTTATAGCTGTAGTACTTTAGTGATCAGTTAGAAATCAGTTGTTAAGGTTATAACTTATAGAGTTCTACCATCAGATTAAGAGGTTTAGGGCAGGGCAGTAATGTCAGGGACTTCAGGAGGGTATTTTGGGATTGAAAGGTTTGAAATTGGTTTAAGTTGAATGTTCTGACCGTAGGGTACTAAAGTACCATTAAACTAATGAATTGTTTAAATGCTAATGGGGAACAAAACATAATGGTGGGGGAAGGTTGAAAGGAAATGGATTAAGAAATAGGTGTCCGTACCTATTTGAATTTAAATAAAGGGAAGAACAAGGGATAATGGGAAAAAACATACTCTAGTGGGGAACAAGTGAATTAAAAGGAGAACAAAATATGTAGTAGTGGGGAGAAATACTTTCCTAATTAGCGAAGTGCTCCTTAGAGCTGGAAAGGGGCTGAGGTTTGGGTATAAATAGGGGTTTGGACAGAATTAGGGGGGATCCTTTTTTAGTCTGGTCTGGCTGTTCTTTGGGGCAGACTTTAGAAGAGAAAAGACTCGGGAAATCTTAAGGGTTTGAACATTCTGAAAACTGGAAGAGAGTTTTAAGAGCTAGTCTAGTTCAACTAGTGCTATCCCATTGAAACTAAAAAGAGTTTCAGCTTTAACTGTGGAGTTGTATTTTCGAGTTTTGCTTGATTACTGAATTCTAAGGGTGTTTCTGCTTGTGTTTTGATTGATATTTGGTTGCTATCAAGCTGTTTTTGGGGTCAGTTACTGGGTGTTTGTGTTGTTGTTGGTATTGCTGGGAATTCTGCTGGATGTTTGTGTTTGCTATTGATTATTTGCTACTGTTTCATTGGGTTTGCTGGAATTCTGCTGGTTCCTTTTAAATCTGTTACTGGTTTGTTCTGTCACTGTGTTGTTGTTTGTTGCTGTTGTGATGTGCTATCTATTGTGCTGATCACTCCTTCTTATTCTCCATTGTATTCCCTATCTAGGTACACATTCTAAAAACCTGTGTTGATGTAAGCTCGAATTTGAAGTTGAAGTTGAGATGAAATGGAAATACAGCTGTTAGTTCTATTTGACATGACTGTATAAATAAACTGAAACTGTTTCTTTATTAGCTAGATTATCACTCGATATGTCTTGAATGTATATAAGCCTGTGATCTCGAGCAGTGATTGTATTTAGTTTTATGTTAGGTTAATAGGATAGTTAGATTAATTTCAATTTTGGTAATTTGTTTCGTGAAGTCATTTGAAAGCGATTCACATTGCAATAAACCTTTAGTAATGGTCGTCATGTGTTTTGTACTAAAATAGGACTGTTTATTTGCTACATCATGGCATGTTAAAATTGGTCCATAAAGAGTGTTGTGGTTATTTTGTTCAAGTTGTTCCAAATAGAACGACGTACTGGTTTCACTATAAAATCAGGATGCTTACCTAATGACATGCAAATGAATAAGTAAATGCTTGACTTCAGGGGCTCGATCCCTCAATCTCTCTTACGCAACTTGGCACGCCCCATTCGGTTTTGGGCTTGCCTCAAGGCCCACCGGTTGTTGTTCGTTCACAAGTAGAATTAGTTGGCCCATTTAATTTGGGCCTGATTTAAAGGTTTCAGTATATAGTTAACACAATATAAGTTTGGAGCTTTGAGTTAGGTAGCGGGTTTAAATTAAAAGGTCCGTCCTTTTGTTTGGACTCGAACTTGAACTCGAAGCCCGCTTTTATAATATTAACTAATTAGGACTTCTTCTCTTTTATTTTAGAGACGAACTTAATAGAAATGTAGTCACTTTAGGATTGTCTTTTTAAAATAAACGAGATGAGCCTCGCCTAGTGAAACGCATAGATTGCGGGGCCCTCACAAATGTATGTATTAATTACTTAGAACTTGGGATCGGCCGCTTAGTGAAC